GGATAATCTTTTGGTATATTACTCACAAATATTCCCAGTTTTTAATATAAGCACTTATATATATACTAGGTTAAAACTTGCCCTATCAAGTGGCGTTTAAGCTAGCTCCTACAGAGGGCTCTTGATTGGGACTTGATCACAATAGGTATGGAGGAGTAGATATGATAGGCAACAATAAACTATAGAAAATCTCAAAATTGATCACTATATTTAAGTATTGCATTAATATTTAAGTTTACCTTTTAAAAGTTCAGCAATAATTCTTATGCTGCCACTTAATTTAAAGATAATTTGATGTATGTAGGTCCTTACTTTCCATACAAACAATTATTTTTATTTCATGGGTGCCTTTCACTGGATTTCACAATTAATTTCAATTTCCCAAACTTATTTCCAAGATATAAAAATTGTTATCATACAATAAAATTTGTCGCAAAAAATCATGTACAAAAATTGCTGAAAACAATCCCAGTAATAAAAACTTGGAATCCAAAATTTCAGATGTCAGACTGATTCCAAAATAGTATAAGTTGGGCTACAATCTGTAAGAGTAAAAGTGAAAATGTGGGACACATTGACACACTAACATTCGTATTATATTGAAGAAGGAGAGCTATTGAAAGTTAGAGAGTTGTGTCCCTTGAATTGAAAAAGTGTAAAACAGTGACACACTGTCATTTGCATTTATTATATAGAAGATATAATATCTACATAACTGCCAGATTCATACCTCAAGTAAAATATTAGGTCAATGTCTGATAATCACTTGAGACAAGAAATGACTGTCACAATGAAGTGTTGATTTCTATGATTTTCATAACCAAACTTGATATATCCTCAAGTGTTCTATCTCCAATGCTGATCATTCTCCCATTAATACACAAAATTTTAATCTCTCTCTCTCTCTCTATCCATATATATATATATATATATATATATATATACACACACACAGAGAACAATGTATAAATTGTTGTCATTTTATATTTTTAATTTCATGCATGCACATTGTTTGTTTTTGATTTTGTTGACTGCACAGTATAGTAGGGTCAGTTGGATACCATCCGTGAGAGAAAGAGCACCATGACGCAATTCACTCCACCAGAAATTTGGTAACAATATGCTGTACTGCTTGGCGTCCATGTTGGAAGCTCCAGTTTGAATATTTCAGAGTGTTTTGGTGTCAATCTGAGGACAGTGCAGTGGATTTGTAAAGAGTTGGATCAGTCTAATGGTGATTACAAAGGTACAGCAGCCCTGAAAACTCACTCTGATCATTCTGATAAGAAAATTTGGTGGTGAGGGCCTCACACTCAACATTTGCATTAAGTGCCTTGAGGGGGTAGTGCTGCCCTCAGTGAAGAGGGTGGCTCCTGGAAGACCCTATTTCTAGCAACAGTAATCTTCACTATGCGAGACAAGCAGGAGAGCTGGCTGTCAAAACAATTTATACAACCATATCATCCCTTACATTTGTCCATCTAACTTCCCAAACTGCAACCCCCTTTATTATTATTGTGTGGTGAATTCAAGAAAGCAACAAAACTCCTTGTAAATATCAAAGATGAACTGAAGACAAGGATTATGGCAGTATTCACCAAGTTAAACAAGGAGACCATCCAGAAGAGATGCAGGAGATTCTGAAGTTGTCTGGAAGCCATGGTTCAAGCCAATAGTGATTTTATTGAATAAATGTATTCTTTAGTATTTAAAGATATTTTTGTGTCATTTTGGTAAATATATCTGAACACTATAATCCAATAAATATATAATATATATATAAAAACAAGACCCACATATTTTATATATATATATTTATATATATTTTATATAAGTAATTTATATAAATATATATGATTTAATTTTATATATATATTTATATATATATAAAGCCAAAATAAAATAAGTATATTTTATTTTATATATATATATATATATTTCCAGTATTATTTTCATTTTTATATGTAATTTAGACAATAATATATATATGATATTTATATTTATATATATATATATATATATATTATATATATATATATATATATATATATATATGAGACATTATATTTTATATATATATATATTATATATATATATATAGTATATTTAGACAATAATTTATATATATATATATATATAAATATTTTATTTATATATATATATATATATAATATATATTATATATATATATTTTATATATATATATATATGAGTATATTTAGACAATAATTTATTCATTGCACCCTGTGTGTGTGAGAAAAAGAGAGAGAGAGAAACTAATAATGTGAAAGTGAATGAGAAAATATAAAAGAATAGTTCTTTGTGACACAAATCATTCAGGTAAGGGAGTTCTTTAAACTAATAAGTTTTATTTCACTGCACCTTTGAAATATGAGACTAATTCAATTTTTAAACTGTTATTAATCTGAAGAAGTTTCTTATCAGAATAAAATGCATCACTAAGAAGTGTTTCTATCTATTTTGACATTAATTTACCATATATTTGCTTACATACTGTCTACTAGAAATACAAAACTGAATTTACTTTATAACGTGGAAGATTTCAAGCTTGGACGAGAATAATAGATTCTATTGATCAAGTAAGGAATGGATTTATTATCGAACTGTTTTTTAGAACTGTTCCATCGTTTTTGAAATCATTTTTGGATTTGCCTTGTAACGGGAAGGACTTCAAGCTTGTTGAAGATATAAGAACCAATTGATCACTACGTATTCCGACATCAACGGAAGAGATTTCTTGAACTGTTTTATAAAAAAATTTTTCAATCGACTTTTTAATATTTTAATTTTTGGAAATCATCTTGAATACATTTTAACAACGCCACACGCGACGACTACGTGATCATATTTAAACAGAACGCTGATTTGTATAAAATTTCAGTTATCTGTTTGAATTAGTTGGGCTCTTATGTCCATCGTCTTTTTGTGTTAAATTTTTATAAGTTATAATGTTAATTATGTTTAAATGAAAATGTCCATGAAGATGGTCTTTTAATAGACCTAAACGTCCGACGTCGACTTTTATTTTAAGATTAATACTACATAAATGCATATTCAGATTTTTTTGTTTTTTCTGTATTTTTCTTTCATACTGTCGGATTTATATCCATATATTTGCTTACATATATATATATATATATATATATATATGGTGGACTCTTCTATCATGAACGATAAATGATGGTCTGCATTGGATGGTGCCATTTGTTTTACATATGCATCCTAGCAAGTCCTAGTGTGGAGAAAATCAGGTAAGGCAAAAACATATTTCATTTGTGCTTTCCTAAGTGTGATACTAGCCCAGCTTTGCTGCGAGCAACAAAGCCACACTGACAGATGAAATTTGTTAAAGCAGGATTTTGATGTCATCTCTGCTTCAGAGCTTAACAAAGCTTATCACAGTGCTTCAGTCTACTGTCTTCAAAATCCTTTAACTTAATAAAACCTGTATTATGCCACACCTTTTGGTTTGAGATATATATATATATATATATATATATATATATCTCAAAATAGAAAGAACAGTCAGATTAATAATTCACTGTTCTTCAGCATTTTTTTTTTAAATGCTTGATACCATATACACCATTATATTATAATATTATTATTTAAATTAATTATTTTCATCATAACACAGAAATTTCAATGTTCCGGCACTTAAAACTTTGGTTCAATTTTCAAGTAATATTCAATAATTTCAGAAAAAATTAATTTACTTTTGAAAGTGAAATAGTATTCTATTAAAGAGTTTAAGTACAAGAGGGAATAAGATTTCAAAAATTTTATGGGTGTTGTCTTATTTGATGAATCCAAAGACAGATCTAAGTTAAAGTAGAAAAGTGAAAAGCTATAGGTTAGGTTTGGGTATGTAATTCATGTTTGTATAGATGATCCAAAACATTGAAATTTCTGTGTTGTGATTAAAAATTATTTTTAATTAATAATATATATATATATATATATATATATATATATATATATATATATTACGGTAATTTAGCCATGTATACATGGACTCTCCCAGATATAAATAGGAGCAGGTACTGCCTTTGGAGAGAGGGAAGTTTCAGCAGTCAGCTCTGACAGACCAAATATTTTGTTGTAACACTCCTGTTTGTATACATTTGTATTACTGTTTCTGTTAATATATTTGTTAAATCTCAATTCCTCTTTGTGTCTTTATTTCTGACTCTAACAAGGCCAAAATTATATAATATATATATATATATATATATATATATATATATAGTTGTAAAGTATGCAATATTTATAGATAAAATGCTCAATATCAGAGATAGAGCATGTGTAAATATAAATGTCTACAAAGAGGTCAACACCGAGTGGTGTCGGACTCTTTCATACTTGAATGAAATCTTTACACCTGAAGACTGCATCCAAGCATGAAACAGACTGCTGTCACTCATGCTCACTTATATGTATATATATATATATATATATATATATATATATATATATATATTTTATATATATATATATATATATATATATATATAGTATATTTATATATATATATATATATATATATATATATATATATATATATATATATATATATATATATATTATATATATATATATATATATATATATATATATTTATATATATATATATATATATATATTATATATATATATATATATATATATATATATATATATTTATATATATATATATATATATATATATATAGTATATTTTATATATATATATATATATATATATAGTATATTTTATATATATATATATATATATATATATAGTATATTTTATATATATATATGAGTATATCTTATATATATATATATTTATATATATATATATATATATATATATAGAGATAGATATAGAATATTTTTTTTTAATAAAATTATTTCTTGTCATTTTCATAAATATTTCTTTAATAGAATATAGAACACAGAAATGAAGCATCAGTAAATTTACTTTACTTTTTTTTCAGCTTTCTGTTATCTCTCTCTCTCTCTCTCTCTCTGTATTTGTTTACTTATCTTCTCTTTTTTTCTTTTGTGTCTATTGTCTTGCCCATTATCTTTTTCTTTTAATGTCTTTCACTTCGTTTAATCAATGAAAATGAACTGGAATTCTGTCAGATAAGATTCTTCTAGCGTTCCATTTTGATTTATTTATGTTTAGTATTGGAGCCTCCCTTTCCAACCAACGGGTTTTTACAAGATTCTCTCACCCTTAAGTATCAGCACAGTGTTAAAAGAATCATTAAATGCTTATGTGGAAATATTTGGGCAGAAATTTTGTAGAAATCTATTTATATTTCAAGCCAGTATTTTTAATTGGACTTCAAATTTCCTCTTGCTTTTCTTGTTTGAAACTAATATCCTACTTTCCATACTATTAGTTGTTTGCTTGTTTAAAATATTACAAACACATTTTTGGTAGGCATTAGACACTGAATATATAGTTGGAAACTGTTTTTTTTTTTAAAAACACTTGTGTCCATCCACCTAAAATATTTGCTTTTCTATTTTTTCTATCTTTATCACTCTTTTATTCTTCTCAAATGAATCTCTCCCTTGCAATTAAATCTTTTCTTCAAAAATCATCTTATAGACATTTTTTGTTTCTTTTCTCTTATTTAATTCTTGTCTTTTTCATTTAACATTTCTCTCTCTAATTTCCCCCTTTTACCTATCTTTCCAACCTGTACATCATTTTTTAACTTTTCCTTTCTTTTCTTCTTATTCCTTTCTATGAAACTTCTTTTATCCTCCCCTTTTAAATTTCCTTAATCTTCTGTTTTCTACTCTTCCTATATTTTTCTTTATCTAATTTTTATTATATCTTATATTTCTACTGGATTTTTTCTCATCTGTAATTTAATTTTCTGTTCTTTTCTGTGGAGGGCCATGATCACCTATGCCCTGAAAGGACATGGAACATAAAAAGAAGAAAAAGTAGTTCTTTCCTTCATATTAATTTATATTATATATCATTATATTATATATCATTAAATTATATATCATCATATTATATTATATATTATATATCATTAAATTATATATCATCATATTATATATCATTATATTATATATTATTATATTATATATTTTATATATCATTATATTATTATATTATATATTATATATATCATATTATATATTATTATATTATATATTTTATATATTTTTTTATATATTATTATATTATATATTATATATATCATCATATATATTATTTATATATCATCATATATATTATTATATATATCATTATATTATATTATATATTGTTATATTATATATCATTATTTTATATATTATATATCATTATAATATATTATATTATTATATTATATATCATTATATATCATTATATTATTATATTATATATTATAATATATTATATTATATATTATATATTATTATAATATATTATTACATTATATATCATTATACCATATTTTATATATCATTATATTATATATCGTTATATTATTCTATTATATATTATAACATTAATTATTCCTTGTATGTTTTCTTGTTCATTTTCTAACTTTTCCAGATCACGCAATCATTTGCTTATATTTTACACTTTATCTCTCTCTTCCTCTTAATTTCTTTCTTTTTTATTTTATTTACCTTTATATTTCATCCACCATTTTTTCCATTCTTTCAATCATTCTTCTTCATTATAATCCCACTTTTCAAAATGTTTTATAGTGATTCAATACTTTTAAACTGTACCATATTCTTTCTCAATTTTTCTCCTTAATTTTTTTTATCCTTTTTCTACCTTTTTTAATTTCATTTTTTCGAGGCCTTCATCTTTCACCTCCCACTTTGCTCTCCATGTTTTCAATTTTTCATATCATTCTTTAACTTTTTTGTCTTTAATTTTTTTTTCTAATGCTTCATCTGTCTACATATTCTTATCTTTTATCTCTTCATACTCACTACACTCTGTCTTCCTCTCTCAAGTTTTCCTAAAAATACCAGAATCTGTATCACCAAGGGCAACAATATCCTAATCAATACAGTCAATGAAGCCCAGCCATAACTGATTTTATTTATAGGAAGTTGGGTCCAAAATAAAAAGTACAAGAAGTGAAGGGTGAATAAAATGAAAAAAGGGGTATTAATGGAAAAGTAGCTCTCTTGTAAAAGAAACAAGAAAAATGGATATCTTTCATACGCAGTCCAAAATTCCTAGTTTTCTGATTGGCCAGTTGGCATCTTTCTGACTTAGTAGAGTTAAGGAAATTGTTTGACATTGGTATATTGATTGGTCTATTGGTGTGCCAGCATGTCTGAGTAAATGTGTACTTGTGTATCTCGACATTTAAATATCCTGTATATTTAACACTATATTCTGAGGATGCATATATGTAGATACCTAACAAGTAATTATGCTTAGTTGCTTAACATAAATACATATAGATTTATCAGAGAATATGTCAATAGTTTTGCATAAAAATAAAGCATTTTCTCCTAAAAATATGTACACACACACATACATTTTGGGGAAATGTGTGCATATGGGTATGAAGATTTATATAAGCTATTTCTGCATATATTCATATTCATGCATGTCTTATATAAGTTTATATTTAAATAACTACATATGTTAACGTAGTTGCTGCAACATGCTTGTGTATATATGTATATGATTCTTCTATGTGGTGTGTGGCTTCAGGATGTAACCAATTATGACTCTCCACAATTTCCTCTCCCTTGTAACTCTTTATATATTTTGCCATTTTGTGGACAGCTATAAGGGACATGGCTTTTTAAGAAAATCAATGAGAAATGATTATCTTATCTTTTTTTATCACTTTGCAGTTCCTTGTTTAATAGGAATTTTAAATCATTACAAGACAGATTCTGTGCTTGAGTAGGATGTATATAATAATATGTAATCTTGTACTATGTGCCATGTCCCTTCAAGATGTTGATGATCATTGCTCTCCACAATTTCCTGTCCATTGTCGCTCTTAATAAATTTTGTCATTTTATTATTGCTCCTGAACCTTGCTCTACCATCCATTTGCCTCCCTCTGTTTTTTTTACAAATACTTTCATGGTAACTGCTCTGAGGAGCTGGCTTTTCGCTGGTTCCCAAACTTCAAGAATTTAAGCATTCAACTAGGCTGGTATCTCACTCACACACTTTCACTGTCGAAAATGTTAAATGTTGCTGTCTCTTCTACTCCAATAGCTTCATGTCTTGCACCTCTCGCCTGTGGAACTCCCTCTCCTCTTTCTGTTTCCCTGATAGCTATAATCTCTAACTATTCAAATGTAATGTCAATCGACGTCTCCAGATGCCCTGATCTAGCCCCTGTCCTCCTCTTCATCCTTTCCTCTATCACTTCACTTTGCTCTAGCTCCATCTCTCTGTAACCCTTTGCATGCTAGTGGCTTCCCACCTTGCTTGGGGTGAAACACTTTAAAAAAAAAAAAAATATTTCTAAGTTGTTTTTCTCTGTTTTTCCTGCATTCACTCTATCCTGTGAGTATTATATTTTCCAAACCCTCTTTCTTCATTATGTGCCCTAGTATTTTCAACTCTCTCTTCCCAATATTAAGTGTCATTTTTGTTTTCATTTTGTCATAAACTTTGTCGCTGCACATGATCAGTTCACGCTATTCTACAGTTCCCTTATTGTAAAGCCTCTTCTTCAGAAAAGTAATGTTTTAAATATATTTTGATCTACTGATTTACAGCAAATTTAAAACCATTGATAGTTTTGTTCTTATTTTAATCAATCGATGAAATGCAGAAGACTGAAGAAATCTACTGCAGAAGAGCAAAAAGAAGCTACGTTCTTTTGAGCATAAATAATAAATACTTTCTCTAATTCTTGCACAGATTCCACACTGTCCTCTTGTTTGTTTCTATCAATCACTTGTGAAGCTTTAATAAATGTGAAACATGTTAGATTGGCAAACGTTTCCTATTTGTTCTTTTTCTTATCATCTTGTCAGATTCCAATCCATATTCGACCTGCGTTTGATCTTTAACTGATATATGTCAGTTAGTTATGTGCTATGCATGATACATGCTTAAGCAATCATGTATTGTTCGATACATGACTGACCAGGCAGATTTTTTCTTGCAGTAGAGTGATTTTTTTTTTCTACAGTAGACCAGTTACCATCCAAGGCTATAGAACCCAGTCTGTCCTGCTATTTACCATAGCTAGGGGGAGAAGAAGAGAACTGATACCTTTCCCAAGGGTATTAGCACATAAGTGAATGCATTGGTTTTGACTAGAATTCAAACTCAGTTCTCCGATTCCTCAATCAGAGCTGCTATCCATTATTCCACCATAAGACCAGAAAGCTAATAATAAATAAATAAATAAAGATTTCAATGACTTACCTCCCAACTCAACATTTTGCAGAGATAAATACATACTTAAGGCTTACGATTTTTATTGCTTCCCAATCAACTTTAATCTTCAAAAATTTAAATCTGTCCCAATATTTACCCATAGCTGGGGGAGAAGAAGAGGATTCATACCTTTGCCAAGGGTATTAGCATGTAAGTGAATATAATGGATTTCACTGGAATTCAAACTCAGCTCTCCAGTTCCTCAATCTGAGTTGCTATTCATTACTCCACTGTTGTACCCAATCATCTCGGTCATTTGTCTAATAAGCTATCATCTTTCATCTATTTCGGTTTCAGAAGTTTATAATAGCCCAATCAGTTCTAAAAACTTTCAGACTCCAAGAGATCCTAATTTTAAGATAAGAGCAGTAGATTTCCTATATTTTGGATTGCTCCCTGAGGGTCATGCTGAAATTTATAAATTTATTTGTCTTAGAAAATAAGCAGTTTAAATCATTTCTAATGACATGATCACTATTGACGTGTAATAATTTGGAAATAAATGCAGACTTCTAAATGTCAAATGGTACAATTTATGTTAAAATGAACCCCAAAATAAATGAAGTCTTGTAAAAACAATTAAAAAATGAATAAATTAATATTTTTCCCGAAACAAATAATAAAATCAGAACAAGGAAAGTATTAATAATGAAATTAGTTGCCAACACAAGCAATTATAATTATATTTAGTAAATTACCAAATTATGTTAATGAGAAAAAATAAATACCTCATTTCAAAAAACTTCTTCCAACATGAATAATATTAAGCATAAAATAGCTGTTTCCATACAGGAAAAATTTGGCTTTCATTGACCCAGCAGTTAACATTACTGCCAACTGAATTTTATAACTTTTTCTTAAAACAGTTTTCCAGGAAATTACACTTCTCAAATCTACTGTTATTGTTATTTTTAGTATTAATGGGACTTTCCTTCCAAACTTTTTGTTTGGAGTTGTGTGGAAATTCAACATATTGATTATATCACCATTTTTCCCTATTAATTACTCCTTTTTGTTATTGTTGATGTAATTTATAAAATTTTTTCTTAAAATAATTTTTTCACAAAACTACACTTCTGAAATTCGCAATTATTGCTTTTTCAAAAATTGATGAATACTTACAGTCATATCATGTTGAAACACTGATTGCCAAAGTTAAGCAATATCAAGCCTGGTAACACCTAGATGGGTGACCACTTGAGAATACCAGGTACTGTAAGCTTGGATGTGCTTGTGGGAATTATGGAAATTGGAGAGCTGCATTCAAATTCCAGCCAGGTTCATTATATTCACAAGGGCAAATACTCTTGGGAAAGGTATGAATCCACTTCTTTTTCCCCCAGCTATGGGTTAATTAGTAG